ATGAGGTATAGGGATGGATAGATAAATACATGGAAGGAGGGATGGAGGGAGAGAGAGAAAAAGGAGAGGAAGGAAGGACATAAACCCTGGCTTCAAAAGACTTTGAAGCAGCACAGCAATCAAGGGCTTGCGTGCAAGAGATCTCAGAGGTCATCTAATCCAACCCCCTGCTCCAGCAGGAGATCCTTATAGAATCAAAGAATAGCAGGGTTAGAAGGGTGTGTGTGTGTGTGTGTGTGTGTGTGTGTGTGCGTGTGTGTGTGTGTGTGTGTGTAGGGCTGTCAAAACACCAAAAACAGGCCAAGCAGCTCTGTGTAGGTCAGTCATAAATTAGAACACTTGCTAAGCAACTGGCCATTAAGTGAGGACCTGGGCATTAAGCGAGGACCACTTACATTTGGTTTGCCTGTCACATGGCCACATGGCCCACTCCCACCCATCACATGACCACCTAGCCATGCCCAGTCAGCAAGCCACTCTCACCCCAGTCACATGACCACCAAGCCACACCCACAAATTAGGCCTCACCCACAGAACTGGTTAAGAAATTTGAATCCCATCCCTGAGGAGAACCTATTTCATTCTGGACAAATGGCTGTCCAATCTCTTAAAAACCTCCAGTGATAAATGGCTGTCCAATCTCTTCTTAAAAACCTCCAATGATAAGAGCACCCATAACTTTTAGCGGCAAACTGTTTCACTGACAGCCCCTCAAATACTGAAACACTGCTATCATATCACCACTACTACTTATTGTTAGACTAGACATAATAGTTTCCTCAATTATTCATTATATAATTTAGCCTCCAGATCCTTTATCATCATTATTACTGTTCTCTAAACTCTTTCTAGGACCTCAACATCTTTTTTGTGTTGTCATGATCAGAACTGAATGCAGTATTCCAAGTCTTATACCCACCTTAGGTGCAATGTTCTCAGTCCTGAGAAAAAGGCAAGGGCAAACACTTCTGTAAGCTTGTCAAAAATCTGTAGGTATCTGTTGCCAGGAGTCAAGACTGATGTTTTGCAAAGTGATCTCGACTATGTGTCTGAATGGTCATCTATTTGGAAACTTCAAATTTCGATCAATAAATGCTCTGTCATACATATTAGTAAACATAATCAGAATGTCAAGTATAAGCTAGGTGACATTGAACCAGCTGATGACTCTCACTTTGTCAAGGACCTAGGTGTACTTATCTGACGATCTATGCTCCAAAGTTCACTGTAACAGCATTGCTAAAAAAAAGCATTAAAAGTTGTCAATTTAATTTTACACAATGTTTTTTCTGGAAACATTGTATTGTTAATTAGAGCTTATAAAACTTATGCTAGACCAGGGGTCTGCAACCTTATACACTCAAAGAGCCCATTTCCCATAGGAAAAACAAAAACAAAAACACAGGGAGCCACAAAACCTAGGTAGGCATGGCAACCCAATGTCACTCACTCCCACCCAGTCAAAAAGGCCCTGAGTCACGCCTACCCAGACATGAAACCCCTCTCTATGTCTCTCTTTCCCCCTCAGCTCTCTGTATCTCTCCCTGTATCTCTCTGTCCCCCTCCCCCTCCCCCCACACCGTATCTCTGTCCCCCCCCCCCCCAGTATCTCTCTCTTTGTATCTCTCTGTATTTCTGTGTGTCTCTCTCTGTCCCTCTATCTTCTCCTCTCCTCTTTCCTCTCCCCCACTCTCTCTATCTCTGTGTCTCTCTCTTTGTCTATCTTCCCCTCTCTCCCCATACTCTCTGTATCACTTTGTGTGTGTCTCTATGTCTCTCCCCCCCCTCGGTATTTGTGTGTGTCTATGTGTACGTGCGTGTGTGTTTTTCTATCTCTCCTCTCCCTCCCCTTCCCTCTCTTTCTCTCCAAAAGCTGAACCAACAAGCTCTCACTATTCCTTTTATTTCTTCTTTTTGGAAATCCAGGCTGGCTGAAGAACTTCCTCCCCCCTCCTTCTCCTCTCATGACCACCTGGCCAGCTGTGGCGGGGCTGGGAGGATGCGCACGTACAGAGAGACCCTCCTCAAGCGAGCACCAAAGTGCAGCAAAGGTAGGCGCAGGGGGTGTGTGCTTAAGGAGGGTCTTAACAGGACACAACAGGATGCAGCTTCTCTCCTGCACTAAGGCTCCAGCCATTGCCTTGCTGTGTCCCCCCCACAGCTCTTCGGCTGAGTGCGGAGGAGGCAAGCTCCAGCCCAAAGCGGAAGGAGGCAAAGGCTGCCGTACACACAAATGTGGCATGAAGGCAGGTAGAGGGCTGCTTCGCTCCTGCACTAAGGCTCCAGTGACCCTGCCCTCTCCTCCTGTCATGGCTGGCTGTGGTTGGCTGTGGCAGGGCCGGGAGGGTGTGCACATGTGGACAGACCCTCCTCAAGTGAGAGACTGGGCTAGGCCAAAGCTCAGCAAAAGCACGCGCAGGGTGACTAGCCACTTGCTTAAGATGGGTCTCCCCACATGTGTGCACCTTCCCGGTCCTGCCACAGCCGGCCAGGGGGTTGCGAGTGGAGGAGAGGGAGGAGAGTCACCCAAAGGGAAGCCTCTGCTGTGGCTGGCGATTGTTCCTCAGGTAGCCTAGACGTGGCTTTCCGAGAAAGAGAGAAGAGATGCAGAAACAGAGAGCGAGTGCGAGAGAGAGATACACACGCAGAGGGGGGAGACTGGCTGACAGGCAAGTGTCTTTGGTGAGGGTTTTCTCTGAGCCTGACCCCCAGGGTGGATGTGCGAGGTTCGGCGGGGCCAGCTCCCTTTTCCCACTGCCTTGAACCTCTTAAAGCCATGGCTGGGTGTTGCTGGACTGTCCCCCTTTCTGATGTCCCCTCCTCCCGGATTCTATTCCCATCCCGCCAGCCCTAGTGTTAGCAAGGCTGGTGTTGGTCATGGCCGGTGTCTCAGGGCAGAGAGGTTGCACGTCTCCCCAAGCAACCAAGGCACGCCCAGCACCAACAAGTGTCAGAGGAAGATCCAGCAAGAGTGAGGCGCCAGAGAATCAGCCCTGGCCGCTTCTCCATTCCCTGCCATTGCCCTTACCTTCTCAGGACAGGGGAGGGGGGGCGAGGAGCGGGCTCAGCCAGTGATGGGACTGGAAGCCGCAGCAGATGACCCAAAGAGCCGCATGTGGCTCCAGAGCCATGGGTTGCCAACACCCATGCTAGACCAATCTTAGAATACTGTTCAACTGTTTGGAATCCCCACCATACAGCTGACATCAGTACAATTGAAAAGGTTGAGAAAAGTCTTGCGCTCTTCTGTATACAATAGAATTCCTTATGCTACTAGGCTCAAAATTCTCAGTTTGGATAACTTTGAACTGTGTTGCTTGTGGTCAGACCTAGGTATTGCATACAAAATTATATGTAGTAAGGTTTTACCTGTAAATGACTTTTTTTGTTTTAATTGCAATAACGCATGTGCTAACAACTGCTTTAAACTCCATGTAAAGCATTCTAAACTTGACTGTAAAAATATGACTTCTGTAATAGAGTTGTCAAAGTGTGGAATGCTCTACCTGATTCAATTGTTTCAGTTACAAATTTGCAGTTTCAGTCACAAATCGACTTCCGTGGACATTACATCATACTTAAGTGGTTAATAGAGGGGATATGCATGTACACTAATGTGCCTATCATCCCCGTCATTGTATTTTTATTCTTTTATTCTTGTTCTCATTTGTGTTTGACAAATTCTAATAAATAAATAAATAAACATTGGCTCCCATTTTGACACTGTTTTGTAGGGCCCTTCTTTGGCCAATAGGCTTAGGAAAGCCAGAGTAGAATGGAACCCATCAAGTGACTTGTTTGACTGACTGTTGTCACCAGGAGTATTGTTCTTTTTTTTTTTTTATAATGAGATTTCTACCTTTGTTAGCTGCTCAGTCACAGAGTGAATTGGGGATCCATACACATTTTCTTAATGAAATAAATAACAATCCTTTTCATCCTTATGTCCTCTGTCTGGCAGCCATAGCCTTAAAATGAAATATTGTCTGGCTCTTAACTTGGGGGGTTGGGAGGGAGACTGATTTAACAATCATACTGAAACATTTGTGTATTTACAATTTACCTTGTAAATTGCTTCTTTCTTTCTATCATCTGTCAACAGATTCACCACCTTAAAGTTATGTTATTTATTTTCTGATTTCAGCACTGAGTTTCAATCCATCCATTCAGAACTGTAGATCACATGACTTGTGTTGAAATTTGAAAAGAGTGACATTAATTCTATATTCTAATCTAATTGGCACATTTTTGAAAATGGGTATTTTCATTTGAAAATGAAAAACAATATTTATTGGAAAATATTACAATTGAATATGAATCTTTTGATGCTGGAAAAGTTACTCTAATTGCTGTTTTCTGCAGTCTTTTGCTGTAATTTTAGTAACCAAAGAAGCAAAGCAGTGTACCCTATTCATTCAGCCCCTCCCCTCCCCCATTTGCCCTCCTTTGCAATGATCCATGTTCTTTCTTTGCTTGATATCTGGCAAAGGTTTGTTTTGCCTTGTTTTGCCTTATTTTCCTGTATCATTGGCTATTTTTCTTAAATACATCCATCACATTATTTTTTTCGGGGGCAAGTGCAGAAAATGTGCAAAGTGCAGAAAGAGTATGGAACAGTAAGGCCTGAGTTGAGGGGGGGGAAAGAAATATAACTCTTATGCATCTTACGATTTATGGTATCTTTCCATCTTTGTAAACCAGCCTTGCTTCCCGTGAAATAATGCACCTATCAATTACATTGCTAACACCAAACTGAGGTTTTTTTTTTTTTTTAAGTAAAACCTTGTTTTCAAAATAAAGATTCAACCGCTATATGAACTTAGGCCCTTCCTGGGAAACAGCAGTGCCAAGTCGCCATTGTTGGATCCATTCATCTGCACCCACTGGGTGGCGCCAGCAATTGTTCCTCTCAGGCAATTGCGAAGAGGGGAGGGGAGCAACTTTCCCAGCAGCAGCCGCTTCCCTCATTTGCCTTTGCTTCCCACTTCGGTAGGGTGAGGTGCCGGCTGAGAATGAGGGAGGCACCACCACCGCCCCCACCACCATCGGTCGCCGCCAGGAACTTGTTTTAGCTCCGGCAGCCACCTTTCCTTTCTGCAGTAACTTTGCCTGAAAGATGCGCCAGTTCTAAGGTTGCTCTCCTTGATGCGTGGCTAAAGCTTTTGTGGGCTTTCCTCAATTCTACCAGCAGAGTTATGGTCGAGAGATGATTGTTTTCTGTAAGACTCCTAGATTGCGTGCATATTGTTCTTTCTTTCTCTCTCCCTCGGCGCGGTTGGCGCCAGATCTTCTCAGCAGCGGGAAAAGACGCGCAAAGATTTCTCCCGACTGTCCGATTACTGAGATATAACTTTACATGTTTTGCGAGTAGAGCGAGTCATTTTCGTTTGCTTGGTGGTGAAGACAGAAATTCTTCTCGACCTTGCGTTTTGGTGCCGCTGTTTCCACGGCTGTATATCTATGTTTTTTTGAATGGCTGCACCATGGCTACCGCAACGATGGTTTGCAGAGTGCAGTTTCTGGACGACACCGATCCTTTCAATAGTACTAATTTTCCTGAACCCACCCGGCCTCCCCTCTACTCCTTCAGGGAAGACATCCCCCTGGTCACCCAACTGGCCGGGGTCCACCGCCTGCTAAAAGCTCCGCAAAAGGTATGGAACTTCCTGGGAACGTTTAATTGGCCGGAGTAGCCGTATTAGGTGAGGAAGGAGCAGAAACTTCGCGAGGGGGGATGCGCTCTGTTTGTATAGGCCGTTCAATTCTTGGATTCATATGATGCCATTGGTGTTTTAACGGGAACATTAAAAAAAAAAAAACTCGTAAGCAATTTAGGACATTTTTGTGCTGAAGAACATGGTAGACTTAAACTATCAGTGGTGTGACTGAAATTTCCTAATATTGAATGTCTGAGTTATTTAGTTAAATGAATCGACAGGAGTTTGATGACAATATCTGCTTCACATCATGCGTAATAAATTTGGAATATATTGTTCCAAGAAGAGTTGATGGACACAATCCTAGAAGTTGTAAAGAGAGATTAGTGAATCAAGAGATATTAATTATGCTTTGCTGCATTAAAATGATTAAAAACAAATAGGAATTAATAACCTAAGTTGGCTTGCCCCATTGATTTTAGCGGAGCTAAAACGTGACTTAAGTGGATCAAATGATTTCTGGAGCTTAGTCGACAGCTATTTTGACTGCTTGTATGAAATCTTCAGATGCTGAGGCCAGTACCCCTGTGAACGTTGCTTTTGGGGGGAGTTGGGATAATTGAGACTGACTGGATTCCTTCCCCCCCACCAAGGTGTCTAGTTTATTACCGTTGAAAAGGAGAACTGCTTTCAGATTTTATCGATAACAGAATCTACCACATGCCTGCTGTTATCTACTTTGATTAATTGTGTGACTTGAAAAGCAGATCTTTTTTTGTGTATTTCATTTTTGAAATAATCAAGCATCCTGAAATTAAATTGATAGGAGCAGTCAAAATAATTGAAATTTTAATTCTTTGAATACAAAGTGTTAGATGTATTGGATATTGTATTTAATTTTCCAGAAAATTCCTGAACATACAGGGGTAGTCATCATCCCATACTGTGCCATGTTGCTCCATTAGACTTTTTATTTGGTAACTCTGAGATGTTCACTCAGTAAATTATAAGTTACTGAAATTAAAGTAGACCTGGAAGATGCTAGTTTGGGGAAGGGTTTCAATATGATTAATGCACAAAAGGATCTGCTCAAATTGACTGTATTTGTACAGTCTTCAACAGGCCTTTGGAACTTTTAATTGCATTTATAAGGCCTATGAAGGAAATAAGGCTTTATACAGTGCTATTTCATTTATTTGTGGTTTGATTGTAATATATTTCTCGCACCATAAAATAATTACCGGTACATATTTTCTGTGTCAGATGATGGAATAAACATGAAAAATAATATATTGAGATTGTTGTAATCCCCATAAACCAAACACCAATGACATGATAAAATAGATATTTTTTGGTGTTTCTAATTGGAACACTACTGGAAAATTAAGAGTGTGACAGACTTATTTGGTTCATATTTTATAAAATTAACAGATATTTACCACAATTAAGTTTTGCTAAATTAAGTAATATATTTTCTTTCTTTTTTGCTTGTGGAAGAAGGTCTAATTTTAAATTTCTCTCCTCCTACATATAATAGGCTGGGATAATTATAAAAATAGTTGTCCACTTAGATATTTGAGATGGAAAGATTGTATCTCAGGTTTCGATAGAGGTTTTTGTTAAGAACCTGGCATAAAAATAGTCCAACAGTATGCTGATACCAAATAAGGTGCAGAAGGAAATACAACAGTGATCAGTTAGTAACAGCAACCAGAACCTGAGGTAGTTTTTTGATGATGCCTAAATATGTTAATGGATATTTTATAACATTTCCATAAATGCTTTTCATAGCAAACAATCATAGATTGACGCTATATCTAAGAAACCTACTCTCAATTCTTGTTTCCTTGAACTTACATACATACATATGTATGTATATATACATTTTTAAAATTTTATAAAACTAGATGCCTAGAACCCTGGGCTACTTTCTCTTTTCTAGTACATTTTGAGTTCTTTCTTAATAAATTATGGAATGAGTCATCTGAATATTATCAAATAGCTCTTTCTTGCAACTGAATTTGACATCCATGTAAATGAATGCATGTAAGTGTTTCTATTAATCATTAATTTGCCCTCTTTTCTTAGGTCTTTTTATAAATTGCTTTTCACTTTCACAGCAGCTTTACAGGACAAACAATTATATTTAGCTAGGATTTCTAAAATGACTGAAGTCTTAAAACTAAAGTTAATCGTAAAGTCATCCTAAATTTCTATTACCAATTTTTCAGAAAATGAAGTAATGGTGGCAAGACAAATAGTGTTCACCACTGCTGGATAAATTGGGGAGGGAAATATGTATAACAAAAAAGGTATTCTTAAGTGGTTGTATTTGTGTGTCTTAAGATCTCACACTTGTGCTGAGCTTTCAATAAAAATAGCAGTTGAGTCTTCTATTCTTGGAATAATTGATACCCTGGTAAAGCTACAACATATCAAATAAAATGAAGCCATCTACAGTGGATATAAGGAGTCTGCTACCCCTATTAAAATGTCAGTTTTTTGAGATAAAAGAAATCAGTTCAAAAGAAATCAGAATTTTTCCATCTTTAATATAACATAAAGTATATAATTCAATTGAAAAACAAACTATTTTAGCAGGAAAAATAATAAAAAGTACAATAACTAGGTTGCATAAATACATACCCTTAAACTAATACTTTTTTGAAGCACCCTTTGATTTTATGACAGCATTTAGTCTTTTGAGATAAGAGTCTATCAGTATGGCAGCATCTTTCTTTGAGAATCTTTGCCCACTCTTCCTTGCAAAAGCACTTCAAATCTGTCAGATTGCGAGGGTATCTCCTATGTGCAACCCTCTTCAGTTCCTAATGAAACCACAGATTTTCATTTGGATTCAAGTTTGGGCTCTGACTGGGCCATTGTAAAACTTTGATCTTCTGGGGAAATCATTCTTCTGTTGATTAGGAGTTTTGCTTTGGATTGTCACGTTGAAAGGTGAAATTCCTCTTCATCTTCAGCATTTTAGAAGGGGCTGGAAAGTTTTGTCCCCAAATTTACTGATAATTGTTCCTTATTCCCTTGATTAAAGCCCCAGTTCCAGCTGAAGAAAAATAGCTCAAAATATGGTGCACTTGGGTAATGTGCAGTCACCCAAGTACACCAAATATAGTGTTTGGAATTACGGCCAAAAAGTTCAACCTTGGTCTCATCGACCATAACACATTTTCCCACATATTTTTGTCAGACTTAATGTAGATTTTTGCAAAATTCAGTTGGTTTGGATATTTTTCTTAGTAAAAGCATCCATTGTGCCACCTCAAACAAGTGGACAATATGGGAGATTGTTGTCACATGTAGTACACAATCAGTGCTTTCCAGGAATTCTGTAGCTCCTTTAACTTTGCTATAGATCTCTTGGGAGTCCTTGGACCAGGTTTCTTTTTATTATTCCCATCAATTTTGGAAGGACATACAGTTCTTGGTAATGTCATTGTTGTACCATATTTTCTCCACTTGTTGATGTCTGCCTTAAGTGTGCTCCAAGGTATATCCAGAACATTTTTTGTATCCTTCTCCTGACTAATATCTTCCAACAATGAAATCCCTTTGATGCTTTATAAACCCTTTGTAAACCATGGCTTTACAAACCATGCTGTAACAGGCAATTGAGTGAATGTCAGAAAAAATCTTATCAGCACAGCTAAACTTTATATGGGCTTGAGCATGGTCACTTTGATTGATGGCAGGTAATGTCATTATTAGTAGTACCCACATCAGTTTGGATATGATTGGTTAATTCTGAACATAGCCATATCCCTACTTATAAAGATAGTGTGCTACCATGTTATTGTAAGTTTTTATTGCTATTTTACTCTCTTAAAAATTTCAGTTTGTTTTTCAATTGGAGTGTAAAGCTTATATTTTATATTAAAGATGGAAAGAATTCTGAAGTGATTTATCTTGATCTGATTTTTTTTTTACATCTCAGAAATCTGGCATTTTAACAGGGGTGTATAGACTTATATCCACTCTACAACCTTAGTAGAAATTGCTTTTTTTCTTATGTCCTACTCCATTCCTTCCCATTTTGTTATTGCTGTGCACTTCTAACCTTTTTTTTCCAGCTGCTAAGGGTACATAAGGATTCCTTTTTGTGGACCAGTAGTATCTTTTCTTCTGGCCTTCTGTTTTTGTTAAGGGGCCCTTCCTCCATTTGTGTATAAAACAAACTCTCTGGAATATATCAAATATATTCAAATTCTGGAATATATCAAACAATATCATTTTAGGACCTTATCACCATCTGATATGGATTAAGAGTTCTATTTAAAGTACCCTATTTTCTTTTATGAAGTTGTACTTTGAATGCTGATATAGTTTGTGTTGCATAAAGTTGATTTTTAGGAGAGAGGGGATTGCAAAATATGTTTACTTGCATGAATTTAAAATAGAAACTGTTGAAAAAAATCCAGCCACATTCTTCCCTTTTTATTATGGTCCATAAATATGTACTGTTCTTTAGATAGGTATGTGAAAAGAAAATAAGGAAACTGAAGTGCTGCTAATTCTTAGTGTTATGGATATTGGCCTGTAAAATAATTGAATAAATTGGGACATTTCCTTCAGCATATACTCTGTTAATTTTGCATTTTCATATAGAAAACTATAATCTTGATTATTTTCTAATTGCTTTTAGTAAACAATATGATTTCAGTACTAGTCTATTCAATCTCTGGGTAGATGATACGTTGTCTATAAGGAGTTGGAAGCTTGACTGAAAGGATCTTTTCTGTGAAACCAGATATGACATTAGTTACATTGAAAAGGAAGTAAACATATAATGAACCATTTCAACATTTTTTTATAAATTTAAGATAGACTTATTTGTTTGCTTATTAGTCACTTCAGTCACAACTTGCAAGTAGGAGGCTTTCCGGAATTATAGGACGGTATCAAAACAATATGTTCAGTATTCTATTCCTAGAAAATATAAAATCAAGAAAAGAATAATAACCAGTATTTTTGGAAAGCCT